GGTGAACTGGTGAACGCTTTTCAGCTCAGTCTCGCCGATGGTAATGTGAGGAGGGCGGTACTCTACCCGAGGTGCAGGCTGATTGAGGACTTCCGTCTTTTTCAAGCTTACCTCGAGTCCGAAGAGCTGGGCAGCCTCTGCAAAACAGGACGTGAGACGCTGCAGGGCTCTTTCGGTATGGGCAACAAGGGCAGCGTCGTCGGCAAAGAGGAGGTCTCGGATCATCTGCTCATGGGTCTTTGTATGGGCTTGCAGCCTCCTGAGGCTGAACAGGCTGCCGTCAAGGCGATAGTGATCTGTGGCTTGCCTAAGCATCATGCTGAAGAAGATGCTGAACAGAGTTGGAGCCAAGACACAACCCTGTTTCACGCCGTTGACGATGGGGAAGGGTTTTGAGAGGGTGCTGTTCAACCTGACTTGGCCGCTCTGGTCTTCATGCAGCTCGATGATCGTACTGAGGAACTTTGGGGGGCAGCCAAGGCGCTCCATAATGAGCCAAAGTCCCTTCCTGCTCACTGTGTCGAAGGCCTTCGTCAGGTCCACAAACGTTACATAGAGTCCTTTGTTCTGTTCCCGGCACTTCTCTTGGAGTTGCCTGAGGACGAAGACCATGTCTGTGGTACCCCTGTTTGCTCTGAAGCCACACTGGTTTTATGGGAGGTGGTCTTCTGCGATGGTAGGTATTAGCCTGTTCAGGAGCACACGAGCAAGGATTTTTTGTGCGATCGAAAGCAGAGTGATCCCCCTGTAGTTGGAGCAGACTGACTTTTCCCCCTTGTTTTTGTACAAGGTAACGATGACTGCATCACGGAGGTCTCTTGGAAGCTTTCCTTGTTCCCAACAACAGACGAGGAGTTAGTGGAGCTTTCTGTGTAACGCTGGGCCTCCACCTTTCCAGATCTCTGGTGGGATGCCATCAACTCCCGCTGCCTTGCCACTCTTAATCTTCTCTATGGCTACTGTGAGTTCTTTCATAGAGGGTGGTTTGTCCAATTCCACTATAACTGGGAGCTGAGGGATGCAGAGAATTGCTGAGTCCTGAACGACTCAATCAGCGCTGAAGAGGGCGTAGAAGTGCTCGGACCAGCGACTCAGGATAGACGCCCTGTCTGTGAGGAGCGCCTCACCGTCCGCACTGTGCCAAGGACTCTGGGCGTGGTGCGTAGGGCCGTACACTGCCTTAAGGGCTTCGTAGAAGCCTCTGTAGTCACCAGCGTCTGCGCATTGCTGAGTTCGTTCTGCAAGGTTGATCCACCACTCGTTCTTAATCTCTCGACGTTTACGCTGGAGGTTGCTGCAAGTGTAACGGAAGGCAGCTTTCCTCACGGGACAGGACGGCTGAGCCAGGTGAGCCTGGTGGACCAATCTCTTCTTAGCCAGCAATTCCAGGATCTCCTTGTTGTGTTCGTCAAACCAGTCTTTCTTCTTTTTAGTGGTGAACCCCAGGACTTCTTCTGATGTCTGCAGTATGGCTCTTTTCAAATGAAGCCAAAGTAAATCAGGTGAGTGATCTTCTGGGCAGCCGTCGTTTTCAAGCTTGAACTGCAAGCACGTCTGGAAGTCAGCTCTCACTACAGCTGATTGTAGCCTACTGAGCTTGAACATTTTCTTTAGGGCCCTCCCTTTCTTGATTTAGGTTTGAAGTGAAGTCTGAGTTTGCAGCGCACGAGGCGATGGTCAGTGTGACATTCTGCGCTGGGCATCACTCTGGTGTGTAAGACGTCTTGGAGGTCTCGTTGGCACACTAGAACGTAGTCAATAAGGTGCCAGTGTTTGGACCGAGGATGCATCCAGGTTGTTTTCAGACTGTCCTTTTGTTGGAAGATGTTGTTGGTGACGACAAGTTGCTGCTAAAATCCAGCAGCAAGCGCCCGTTGTCGTTGCAGTTACCAACGCCATGTCTGCCAAGCACTCCTTTCCAGGCAACAGCGTCTTGTCCCACTCTGGCGTTGAAGTCGCCAAGGATTATCACCTTATCGTCTACGGAGGTGCTTCGAAGAACTCTGTGGAGCTCTGAGTAGAACTTGTCTTTTTCTGCAGGCACAGCTTAAAGAGTTGGGGCATACACACTGAAGAGCGTGGCATACTTTTTGTTCTTCAAAGAGAGGCGCATGGGCATGATGCCGTCAGAATGACCAGTTGGCAGGTTTTCCAACTTGGAAGTGATGGAGGTTCTAACCATGAAGCCAACGCCTGCGAGATGCCTTTCTGTTGCAGGTTTTCCTGACCAGAAGAGGTTATATCCGGCGCCATGCTCCTGAAGGCTACCTTCTTCGGGGAATCGAACTTCGCTGAGGGCAGCAATGTCGACATCTAGCCTGGACAGTTCACGTGCAATCAAAGCAGAGCGACGTTCAGGTCTGTTGCTGTCAGCTTTTCAAGCATGGTTCTGATTTTCCAACATGCCAGTTTCAGTGCTTTTGCACCCATAGCGGGGGGTGCATATCTTCCTTTCTTTGTTGTTGTTCGACCGCTAGTAAAGATGCTCGTTGGCCACCGCAAGCCAACTGGGGGGATGAGAGACGAGCTTTGGTTAGGCCGTCTTTTCCAGGCCCCTCTCCTTGTAGAGCGAGCAGTGCTGTCCCTAAAAAGGGCTGCTTGGTCTGTCATGGCCTAGCGAGCTGGGACGGTGACAGCGAGATCCACGGGTCGTAGGTTTTACATCAGACTGTCCTTGTCCTAGCCTCAGGCTCAAAAACTTACCTCGGAGGCACGAGGACATGATGGCCGTTGAGCTCGTCGTGGAGCCCTTCCGCCCTGGCCGGTGACCACAGAGAAGCTCGTTGCATTCTGCCGAAACTGAAGCCGATTGGACTATCAAAACCGCCAGTGTTAGCACTCTATTAGCTCATCCTTCCAGCGGTGACCCTGGCAAGGGAAGCAAAGGGTGTACTAGCACTTGCCTAAGGTGCGCGCCCAAGGCTAGTGGAGGGAAGGAGGCGCCTTACGGCTCCATTCTAGACCGGCTCCAAGCTAAGTCTAGCCACTACCCAAAAAATATATTTTGATCGTAAGATGGAACATATAAGGCATTAATAAGACATCCTGCGCATTTCCATGCAAGTCAACTAATTCAACTAATTTAGCAGTACCTTTACCGACTACTACGTTGGCTTTACTGCCATCTGCTAATTCAATAACATGCGCTTTACTATCAAATTTACTATCAAATTTACTATCAAAATCTATAAATTTTGACTTATCGTTAATGATGTGGCTTGTAGCTCCTGTGTCCACCAGTAGAGTTGAATTCCCTTGATCCTTATCCTTCACGTCTGCTTCAGCGTTCTCTTCTTCATCCTTTGACACGAATAAAAAGAAGTGTTGCTATTCACTGGCACAGCGCTGCCGTCTTTAGCTGACTTGGACATTTCTTTCATCTTTCGGCAATCTTTCGTATCGTGGATCTTGGTCTTGCATATGGAGCACCATTTGTTCCCCTTCACTCGGCATTGTGAGCTTTTGTGCCCCTTTCTTCCACATTTGAAGCAATTTCTGTCAAATTTTGGTTTCACATACTCAACGTTGTCACCCACCTCAGTTTTTGGTGACAATGGTTTGATATTTACTTCATGACTTCGTAACGAGTTCTTAAATTCCTTAAATGTCATTTGTCTTTCCCTTTGAACTGTTACGGTAGCAAAGATGTCGTACGTGCTTGGTAGACCCTTTAAAACCATTGCAATGAGTAGTGCATCACTTATTATCTCCTCGGCTTCTCTTAAGGCTGTTGCCGATCGTTCCGCTCGCAATATATAATCTGTTACAGTCTCGTCGTCACTTTTCTTCAGCGAAGTGAATTCCGTGTAAAGAGCGATGACGCAAGGTTTTCCTCTGCCTTGATAGTGATGTCTGAGGATTGCTAAAGCTCTTCGTCCATTGTCTTTCGCCTCTCGAATCACAAGAGACAAACTTCTGTCGTCCAGACATTAGACCAAGTCTGCAAAAGCGTGAGTCAGTTAGAGAACTTTGGGTGTCAGTTAGACAAATTGTTGAACACCTTCCTAAATGATAATATAACTCAGTACCTCCATTTTCATTCCAACATGCAGTGGCGTCGCTAAAGTGGGGCCTGGATAGGGGACATGTGCCATCTAAAAATTTACTGTGCCCCCCAAGTGCTCCCCATTTGAATTTTAGATAAGAGTTTTCATATGCATCATTCGAAGTTGAAAAAGAAGCACATGGCATTAATGTAGCTCTTACGAATTCACGAAACTTTACTGTAAAAGGAAGTATTCTATTAGCTCTGCAGACTAATTTGCGTTGTATTTACCCTTTCTGGGTTGTTAGCCGAGTGGTGAAGATTTTAATTTCTTAAAAATGAAGAAAAACAAAACAATAATTCTAAAATAATTTAGTGGGCAAGGAAGAACAATTATTATTGTGAAGCATGTCATGAACCACATTACACCATATCATAGAACTTGTATGAGATCGTGGACAAGTATACTCGTAGACTCAAACTCGTACACACAAAAATACAAATATAGCAATGACTAAGAGTAAGGCTCATGAAAATACTACAATTCTGGGAGTATTATAATATGAAAACATTTCATTAAAATCAATAATCAATCTACGTAACGTTATAACACGAAGAATGTACAAATCCGCCAAGTTTAAATTGAGAAGTTAAAAAGTTGAAACTATTCATGTTCTGATAAATATTTCAAAAATTTCCCAATTCAAAAGCAATTTTTAGGGCCATTTCGCTAGCGACTGACGTGGTACAAATTTTGTGCCCTCCCCCCTCGCAAAATCCTGGCGACGCCCCTACCAAAATGTAGCCAAATGCCTAAATGCGGGAAAACTAAAATGTCCAATTGCGTTGTTTTCAGCTGCCATCCTCGAATTTCATTTACACGTACAAGTAAAACTGTAACATTACGTAGCTATGTTTGATCTTCAACAATTTTAGTTGTCTATAAACTCTAATTAAAGAACCAATTTATGTTGATATTAATAATTTTATGACCCTTAGATGCAGTCAAGAGAAGAAATTAATTACTTCTACCTGCATAAAATACGTAAAGATGTTACAGAGAAACTTGTTGATCTTTTTATCCAAGAATGGAACACTCATTACAAACAATCCCTCGGAGAATGGGAAAATACAAACGTTAGTGGTCAGAAGTTGTTCAATATTGAAATATCAGAGAAAAAATTTTGTGATAGACAAACTTTGTCAAAACTTAAAGATGGTGACACCAGTAAGTGGGATTGCACGACAATATGTAAAGCAATTATCTTTACCCACACAATTGGAACAAAGATTAATGATAAAGTTAGAGCTGCTGTGGACAAACTTCGTGATGTAAGAAACAAAATCGCTCATAATAAAGATGAAAAAGTATCTGATACCGAATTTTACAAAATGGTTTCTCATGTTGAAACCTCTTTTCAAGATCTAGGATTTCTACTGACAGAAATTAATACAATAAAAAGTCAACGTAATATTTATACATCTTTTCAAGTACTTCCTTGCAAAGCAAATCACGATGTGGTTAAACGTACAGAGTTACTTAATCAAATCACAGCAGATCTCAATAACTTGCGCAGTACTAACAATAATGAACTAACATATTACTATATTTCTGGTAATCCTGGCAGTGGTAAATCTCAATTAGCTAGACAAATTTGTGAAGAAATGTTTAAGTCGGTTGACTGGGAAAAGAATACGACATTTGTAATGACACTCGACGGAAAAGATATCGACTCTCTTTTGAAAACTTATGTTGAACTTTATCAACGATTAAAAAATGATAAAATTGTCATTGAAAATATTCTGAAAGAAGCAAAAAGCAGGGAAGAAAAAATTAAAGATTTTCAATTATTGCTGACACAACAACTGAAATCTTGGCAAACATGGTGGATTGTTGTAGATAACGTGGTTGAACTTCATAAAATCTATCCATTATTACCTCAAGTTGATGATCATAGCTGGAAAAATGGACAAATTATAGTAACTGTCCAAAATACAGATGCCATACCACCAGATGGAAATTTAAATAAACACATTTCAGTTAGTCATGGTATGAACAATGAAGAATGTCGACAACTTCTATCTGTCTTTTCTGATATTCATAATGAAGATGAAAAATTTTTAAAGAATGTATCAGACAAATTAGATCGTCAACCGTTGTTTCTGGCAAATTCTGCTTCCTACGTAGGTAGTGTAAAAAGTGTAAATCCGACATTCACGTGGGAGCAATATTTTTATAAGTTGAATGAAGGAGAGCGACAGAACATGCATGGCAATTTTCAAAAAATAAATACATCTTACTTAGGAATGAAAACTGTTATGTTAGCAGTACAAAAAAATGCTGAAGAATCAATCTTGTTGAAACATGTTTTTAAACTTTTCTCTATAATATCTTCCGATCCCTTACCACAAGATGTTATAATAACATTTATTAAAAGCATTGATCCACAAAAATCTGCAGAAGATGTCTGTCTTCAATTAAAGCATTGTTCTTTATTCCTTCAAACGGAAAACAACGACATCCGCCTGCACAGCGTTGTACACGAAGCCATCATAAATTATTCATCGCAGACCTTTGGCTGTAAACAAAACGAAAATAATTCTACAAAGTCTGCAGCTGATCTTGCCTGTCAAGTTGCTTGGGCACTAAATTATTTTGAAGACAGAGAAGATGAAATCAAAATAATTCCACATTTAAATAAATTCATAACAAATTCATCATTTCAACATTTCTTAAATAAGTTGATCGATGTAAAATCATTGTTTTTTTTCATTAGAAAACAAAAACTTGATGAAAGAAAGTGGAAATTTGCCAAATATTTTGTAGATGTTTTGAAAAGATTTTGCAACTATAAACTTGCAACTAAAGTACTTTATAAAATAACAGAAATTCAAACTAAAGTGTTAGGTGTTGATCATATTGATGTTTCATATTCGTACAACGAGCTGGGTGTGTTGCTTTGGAAGAATGGAGAATATGAAAATGCTAAGTATTTTTATGAACGAGCGATAGAAATTGACACGAAAACATTTGGACCTGACCATGTTGATATTGCGACAACGTACAACAATCTAGGTTTGGTTTACGATAATATGGGAGAGTACGAAAAAGCAAAAGATTTTTATGAACGAGCGATAAAAATTAAAACAAAAACATTAGGACCTGACCATGTTGATATTGCGACAACGTACAACAATCTGGGTTTGGTTTACTATAATATGGGAGAGTACGAAAAAGCAAAAGATTTTTTTGAACGAGCGATAGAAATTAAAACAAAAGCATTTGGACCTGACCATGTTAATATTGCGACAACGTACAACAATCTGGGTTCAGTTTACAGTCAAATGGGAGAGTACGAAAAAGCAAAAAGTTTTTGTGAACGAGCGATGAAAATTCAGACAATAGCATTTGGACCTGACCATGTTAATATTGCGAAAACGTACAACAATCTGGGTTTGGTTTACAGTAAAATGGGAGAGTACGAAAAGCAAAAGATTTTTTGAACGAGCGATAGAAATTAAAACAAAAGCATTTGGACCTGACCATGTTAATATTGCGACAACGTACAACAATCTGGGTTCGGTTTACAGTAAATGGGAGAGTACGAAAAGCAAAAGTTTTTATGAACGAGCGATGAAATTCAAACAAAGCATTTGGACCTGACCATGTTAATATTGCGAAAACGTACAACACTCTGGGTTTGGTTTACAGTAAAATGGGAGAGTACGAAAAAGCAAAAGATTTTTTTGAACGAGCGATAGAAATTAAAACAAAAGCATTTGGACCTGACCATGTTAATATTGCGGCAACGTACAGCAATCTGGGTTCGGTTTACAGTCAAATGGGAGAGTACGAAAAAGCAAAAAGTTTTTGTGAACGAGCGATGAAAATTCAGACAAAGCATTTGGACCTGACCATGTTAATATTGCGAAAACGTACAACAATCTGGGTTTGGTTTACAGTAAAATGGGAGAGTACGAAAAAGCAAAAGATTTTTATGAACGAGCGATGAAAATTCAGACAATAGCATTTGGACCTGACCATGTTAATATTGCGACAACGTACAGCAAACTAGGTTTGGTTTACAATGATATGGGAGAGTACGAAAAAGCAAAAGATTTTTATGAACGAGCGATGAAAATTCAAACAAAAACATTTGGACCTGACCATGTTAATATTGCGACAACGTACAACAATCTGGGTTTGGTTTACATTAAAATGGGAGAGTACGAAAAAGCAAAAGATTCTTATGAACGAGCGATAGAAATTCAAACGAAAGCATTTGGACCTGACCATGTTAATATTGCGAAAACGTACAACAATCTGGGTTTGGTTTACAGTAAAATGGGAGAGTACGAAAAATCAAAAAGTTTATTTGAACGAGTGATGAAAATTGAAACGAAAGTATTTGGACCTGACCATGTTAATATTGCGACAACGTACAACAATCTGGGTTTGGTTTACTGTGAAATGGGAGAGTACGAAAAAGCAAAAGATTTTTTTGAACGAGCGATAGAAATTGAAACAAAAACATTTGGACCTGACCATGTTAATATTGCGACAATGTACAACAATCTGGGTTCGGTTTACAATAATATGGGAGAGTACGAAAAAGCAAAAGATTTTTATGAACGAGCGATGAAAATTAAAACAAAAACATTTCGACCTGAACATGTTAATATTGCGAGAAAGCAATCACGTTGTAATTTGCTGTGATAGGAAAAACACGAAAAACCAACACAATAAAGTTTATAACAAGCGATAGAACTTGAAAGTGAAGCATTTGTTCTTTTAATCGCCAACAGCTAAAAGTCTTCCGTATTTGAGAAACGTTTCACGAGATAAGACAAAAAGGACAAAAGACAGTTGTACTTTCAGTTCAGAGCGATAGAAATTAAAACAAAAGCATTTGGACCTTAACATGTACTGCAATAATATACAACAATCTTCATTTGGTTATAAACAAACTAAAGATATTGAAACTGAAGGATTTGGACTTCTATTTATCTTTTATTTTCTAGAAGTTAAAATACTCCTGTCTTTGAGAAAACGTACAAGGAGATAGAAGAAGAGGAAATGAATTTGTAGCTCATTTTCAATGAAGAAGAAAATCAATTTCTCTTTTCATTTTAGGTATGTCTTCTTTATACTAAAACTGATTAGAAACAGTTGTATTGTAGATTTCTTTTAACAAAGGTTCAAATAACAACAGTTGTATGTTTATAAAAGGTATAAATATATTATTGACAATATTCAAACATTTGTATTTTCAAGTTTTCAACTGTCATTTATTTACTGAAACAGTTTTTAATAAGAAACTTGTATGGAACTATCAAAGTATATTTATGAGTTTAGTTTGCAATATCTAGCTATTCAGAAGTTGTGAAGTTCCTTAAAATGAATGTTGTTGGGTCATTTTCTTGTATAATGAGAGTAAATACTGATCTTACAGCAACCATGATCATGTAACATCCCTTTTTGAAATGCTGAAAAGCTCACAAGATTTGCTTTGCTATATAAGTATGAATACAGTCTTTTCTATATTGATTTCTATTCATTCATATAATTTACAAAATATACTTTCTATTTATGTGAATTGTAGTTGTTTGAAATGGACATGCAGTTATTGTTATTTGATTCAATCATACTTGATTTGGGGACTAACACCTTAATTGTCGTGACAATGTTTGTTCTTTTTTACTTTGGAGGAAATATTTATTTAATGATTGATACAATAATACTTTTTTAATGTTCAAACTATAAAGGCAATGTAAAGTAAAAGTTATAAATAACCTCAAGAAGAAAAAGCAGGACATTGCCATAGCATTGACAGAAGTGAAAATGACACATTTAACTGTCCGACTACCAGATTTACTAATATATAAAAAATCCCAGCAGTGGCGCAGGATACTTGTTAATTGGGGGGGGGGGGGCACAAATTCATATATGCATGTCTTAATCTGTTGAAAACAATGGATTTCAAATGAACTTAATGTGGCAGAACATGAATATATGAAGATGTGCCTCCTACCCAAAATAAAGAGTCTGCTATGCCATTTATTCCAAGGGTATCTTGAAAAACTCTGGCATTGTGTGCAACAGAATTTCATTTTGCAAGGAACTTCTTATTTTTTTTTAAAACATTACTTGAACATTAAAGAAATTGTGTACAAACTATAAAAAGTTTATATTAGGAATATATTTCTAGGGCAACACCCTCCTTTAAAGTATGTATCAATGTTCAGGAGTGAATGACATGACCAGACATTTTTGGCTAAAGTGTTTACAACTGATAAGAACAGTAAATGAGTCATTTCTACTGGTGTCTTTACTACTGATATGGACAGTGATGAGTCATTTTCGTTGCTATGACATTCATGTCTTGCTTTTGCTTTAGTTTATACTTTACATTGCTTTGAAACTGGTTCTCCCGGCTACATAAATGATTTCGTGGTCTTGATGTGAATATGGGCCGCCACAATAATAACATTTTCGCGTAGATTCAGGTTGGATGGTGGCCAACATGTCGTTATTTTTTGTCCTTTGACTCGATATTCCGTGCTTGATAAGTGCTTTGCTCATCTCTACGGCCGTCCAGCAAAATATCTCTGAGTTTATACTCGGGATCTCTTAGTGCTTTCTTTCGTATCCACGAAGAAGATCCCGCCATGATTATCTGTTGTTCCACCTCAAAGTCAACATCATCAAAAGCACATGTTTGAGCTAATTTTCTCAATCGCGTATGAAATTGGTCTAACGTTTCTGATTGTTCATGTTTGGCTTCGCGAAATTTGTACACTTCATATCGCCGATTTTTTTGAGGCTCAAAATATTCCGTTTATTTGGTTTTAGCAAGTTCATATTCGCTGTCGTCGCCTGTATCGTTGAGCTGTCGAAATATTTCACGAATGCGTGAACCATCTTGACAGAGAAGTAATGCTCGTTGTTGCTTTTTATCTTTAATTTCACTCGAGGTAATAAACATTTCAAAATCGGCAAGCCATGTGCTCCATCGAGTTGCCAAGCTTACACCAAGTATTTATTTAACAAAAACATTTTTTAAACACCTTTATTATCCAGCGTACGTACGTTGGGCGGCTATTACCCACGTATATATAACATTAATTTTCATCATATACTACATTGTATAACTACCAAAAAATTACATATGACTGTTCAAAAAGTATTTATTCAACAAAAACCTTTTTTAAACATCTTTATTATCCAGCGTACGTACGTTGGGTGGCTATAGATCCATTGCATGAGTAGTATACAGAGCGTCGTTTCTGGCTCACCTCACACCTTGGGACCCATTATATACAAATCTAAGTGCCCCAATCCTAGTTCGCGTACGTATGCTAGCATAATTACAGCGAAGGTCAAAGCCTGGACAACGCCAAGAGCCAAAGACGGCCGGCCCACCCCCCGCGCAGCCGGCAGTCGGGGTCTATTATTTAGAAAAAGCGTATAGTAGGGCACGTTGTAAGATGAATAGTGAATCCAAAAGAGTACGTATGAAAAGACAAGGGCAAAAAGAAAGAAGAGAAAGAGAGAAAAAATTGAATAATATAATAATAAGACAAAGAGAACATCTTAAATTACAAACCAGGCTGCTAATACAGACAGGTACGATACAATTAGAAGAATAATATTTATATAGTATATAGAATCGAGATGGACACTGTTAGAGAGATTCTGCTACTATATAAACAGAAGTGGAAGAGCTCTAAACTCATTTCTTGAAGCTTTTCAACCACCAGCATCTACATCAAGAAAGCGTACTAATACAGCTCCATCTGAACCTCCTTCGGTACCATGTAAGCGTAGACATATTAAGCCTAATGACGTAATAGAAATTAGACCGCCTGTTATAACAAATTCCGTAGGTTGGGAAGCTGCGTATGGAAATATGAGCGACCCAGCGTTAATACGCTCTAACGCACTTCAGTTTCTAAATGCAATTCCTCCAAAAACTGAAACTTCGACGCCTCCAGCGGCCGGTTTACCCCCTTTGCCAAACGTGAAGTGTTCTTATTCAGTTCTAGATAATGAAGGAAAGCCTTCGGACTCGTCTAGCGCTTCGTGAAGCAAATCTTCATCAAACAACCGTTGGAGATTCGGGTATGATACTTTCTATAGTGAGTGTGATAATTACTTTGGCAGTTCCCATCTGTTGAACAACTAATGTTGCATCAGCAGGTAAGTCTACATCTATAAAATCGCTATAGCTACATTCAGAGTTAATATCACCAATACGATGTGTTTTTGTTTCACTTAAGACAAGTAATTTGCTAGGAGTTTGAAGTACTCGTAGCGCCCCTGCACTTGTAAAACATTTTCCACTTAATGATATTTGGTAGAATCCAGCAGTTTCGATGGTGATTGTAGAAGAATCTTCTTCACCTTTTTCACACATCGCGACTTTGGTCCAATCTGAACCTCTTTTTCCAGTGACTGAAGTACCAACTTGAGTGGACACATCTACTGGAATTTCTAGTCGTTTTTTATGTTTTTCACGTCTTCTATGATGTTTTACACAACAGGCGTGGTGTTTTTTGCCGGACGTAGCAAAGCTTCGAGAGCCTCACGTGTAGGTTTATCTACGTCTGAATAGTTCCAAGAAGATATGAGTATTTTTTCAGCATTACAATTATATTCTAGTTGGAATTTTTCAAAATTTTTCTCTCTATTTCGTCGTAAGTATACTTCTACTGCTCGGCGAAAGAGATCGTTTGTTGATTCAAATTCATGAACCGAAGTTTCAGTTGCGTTAGACATTTTAATGTTTGTGTGACAAGACACAACTGAAGTGATAAACACCATAAATATAAAGTGTAAATTTATTATTCCCGAAATCAATCAAGCTATTGAAAATGCTATGGAAGCATTGGGGGTAAAGTTCGCACATGAAGATGAAACCGCAAGACGTGATCCACCCTTTGTGCTCTCAGTAAATATTCCCACATCTAAATCTGAGATTACTGTTAAAGGTGACCTTGTAGTTTCCTTTGACACAGATAACAGCTTAGGCCCTATTTTGGTGTTTTCTGTGGATGGAGGCGATATTACTAGAGGAAAGACTTTAAGTCAGAATCGAATTAACATTACAGATGTACAGAAGATCCATATTCACTGCTCGCTTATTAATTAAAGTATAGTAAACGGGAATTATAGTGATGTCATTAAATCATTTACTCCAAACCGAGAACCAGGACGTTTGTTGAAAATAAGACCCAGTCCACCGACCTATTTACCAGTAATAGAAACTAACCTTATTACTCGAGTGCAAATGAACATCACTGATCAGTCAGGAAATGAGAATGATTTAAATGGTGAGGAAGTAACTTACACTTTAAACATCCGTCCGAAAATGTGATTATACACGCTCATAAGCGGATTCGGATTCAAAGCTGTTGTGATGACAACAGCTTATTTTCTGTGTATAATATACTTAATAATGATAATTCAAGCAAGTAGGAAATTCGTCGGGGGATCATTGATAGGAAACCTCGTGGACCTTGCTGGTAAAGCGAAGGGTGCGCTATTTAGTGCGTGGAAGTCCGCAGCTGCAGCCTTACGATCTCGCGTAGGTAAGTTTGCTCCAAAAATCAAGAATGTGGCCGTGGCGGCTGGTAAAAAAGCAATTCGTGACACGGCTACAGCAGCCAAAGAGGCTGTTATATCGACTGTAAAAGAATAGTTCTCGCCTGAAAACGTAAGCAGTCTTGTTGCCGATCTTGCCCGCGGGAATGTTAAAGGAGTGGCTAGAAAAGCTAAATCACGTGCGTCTGCAGTGACTTGTGCTGGGGCTGAAGCTGGTATTAGTAGCGCAAAAACGCGCGCAAAAAGTGAGCGCCTTAACGAAAGAAGCTAGATCTAAACTTAATGAGCTGGTTGGAACTTCAGAAGCTAGAAAAGCGCTAGTATCCCGCGCTGAAAGTGTTGCTAAGCAACAGCTAACTTCTCGAGACTTAGGTATTCTAAGCAACTTAGTTTCTGGTAATGGTATGATGTACGCTTAAAAATGTCTGCTGAATTGAATATTTATGATATAATAGCAGACAAAATTTTTTTTGATATATGTATACTGTACGAAGTACAACAACTATAGCAATGAGTACGGACATCATATCTCCTGCACCTCGACTCTTTGACGAGCCTGTTGTCGATCGCTCTATTGAGCGTCTTCAATACGCGAAAATTGCTCCCCGCGATCAAGATTACGACA